GACACAGAAGCCATATCCTGGTTTTGTAAGTGTATAGTGGTGATATCGACCGAGGAGGTCAAAGTTGGCTGGCTGATTATGAGATAACAGCGTTGCTGTCTTGAAACCGGGCAGATCAAGGTTGAAGATAGAGGTGGTCGTGAGACCGGCGAGGGACTGCTATTATATGCCATCACTCTCGTTTGACTTCTTGATAGGTCAATCATCTTGTTCTCTGGGAGGTGGTGAGTTCAACTCCCCTACCCATGATGCAGCTAGATGGCATCCCTGCTGCGGCTCTCCAACTTGCTTTTTGCTCAAGAACCTCAACACCAAACCCTAACTCTCCTTTTCAGCTTCCGATTCCCCTCCTCCCTCTTCCGAATTCCTATCTGCTTGCTTGCTTGCTCGCTGCGTATCAGCGTGTGGGTATCATCCGCCCCGCCAGCCAGGCCCTTGCTTCCCGTGTCGTCCCAAACCATTCATCGGAACGGCTGCAATTCTTGATTGACTGCGGGCATGCAACAGCAGCTATCTCGCATACCGGTACGGAGTATGGCCTTCGGTAGTCCAGATACAGAACAACTGACGAGTTATTAGGATATACGTACCGAGTCATTCTTACCGGTTTCTTGTCGCGATCATTGAACTCCTTGCTGCCATCCCAGCATCAAGCACGACACAAAAAAAAAACCTCTCTTCGCTCTCGCTTATTCACCATTCATGCCCAAAGTATCCAGTCAAAATGGTCGTGTAATACGTAACAATTGTCCTCTTCCACCCCCCCCCTCTTCTGCCTCAGCCGTGTGTGCGGCGCGGTTGCCCAACTTCTTGGTGAATCAGAAGCTGATAGAACAACAGAACTGATATCGCGATAAGACGTCGGAATGGCGCCAGTGTAGCGGTCTGCCTTGGTCAGAGCTGCAAGCACGCACACAAACTGTGTGTAATCTGTCTCACTCCATCTCCCGGGATTTGCCTTGTGTACCTGTGTCTCGGAGGCTGTAACTGCTAAATAGGCGCTGCAGCTATCCTATCAAACAATCTCGTGGGGGTCCTTCTCATGTCTGAGATCAGTCTCACAGAGGAACAAGACCAGGGCTCAGAGGCAGGCAGGTACCCGTGTTATCGTCACTCATCACTCTGTGATCCAAGTGAAGCCATCACGCAAGGTCTGGTTTGCTGATACGTCTGGCTAAAGGAGGTGTTCACGGCATCGTGTTACCACCCTACGACCCTGCGGGAACAGTACCGTGTCCGCAGCGCAGGAAGATATAATGCCGCACAAGTAAAATCCACCTCGGATGGCAAATGTCATATGCCTCTCTGCTTGTCGGATTGCACTGCAGGCGGCCGCATCAGAACCTTGACGGACACTGGGGATGGATGGCTGGCTGGATATGGACGAGCGAGCCGCCCATCCCGCTGTGGATCTCTGTGCCGTCAAGCAAAGAGGCAGACATGTGTGTTGGGTCCCAATGAGCGTTCTTATCTGTATCATGAGACCATTCAACCCAAGTATGCAGCGATAGCAGGATATCATGGTTGGATGGATGGGCGATGATTAAGGCCGCTCATCGCCCGAGAAGCAATCAGGAATTCCGAGAGCGAGTCCGTGTAGTGTAAAGAGGGGGATGCAACCTCGATTCGAGAAGATAAGTCGGCGAGCTGGGTATGGCTCCAGTAAAGAACGGGTGAAACGTCGTCGATCCTGAGAGATCAGTCTAGCATGAAATACAGCGATAGAGGAGCGCTTGAAGGGTGATCCGGTCATCTCCATTCGCGAGTGCTTTGATTGCTTGGCCACCGAGCTGCCGGCACATCTAACCAACGGTTCTGCCACATGCTTGAATGTCACGATGGGAGTGATAATCAGATAGGGCGGGCGGCGTTAATCAGGGATCGCCCGAAAGGGAAGTACCAAGGAGCGGGCCAAGAATTCGAGAAAGAGAGATGCAGTCAAGAGAGGAGACGTCCGTGTGTCCGAGAGCTCAACTGAGATGTCCGTGGTGCGGTCCGGAGTCCTGGTCGATGACAGCCAGGGGAGGCTGTGAGATGTCATGATTGTCACCAAGGGGCACAGGGGCGGCTCCAACGGTCGAGGCGGCTCGAGCGCTCGCGTCTTGCCTTGCCTGCTGCTTGCTTGCTTGCTTGCTTGCTTGCTTGTGCTGCCCTACGATGTGTGTTTGCTAGTGGCCAGGTCTGTGGTATTTTGCAGTTTCGTCTCTCATGACGCCTTATCTCTCGCCTGGCAGGTTGGTTGTCCCTAGAAGGTGGAAGCTCCGGTGGCATATGTTGGCTGTTTGCTGTTTGCGGGCAACAACGTACGATTTGGACCGATTAGATTCTGGAATGGTCGAATGGGAAGTGTCCCATGCCGCCGCCAGGCCTTGTCGTTCACTTTCTTGGAAAATGGTATCTTTTCGACCTGTTTCGCATCGGCCTCTGTGTGTGTGAACAGCACAAGAGGGTCCATCGGCTGAGCGGTCCTGCATCTGAGACGTGGGGCTTCATGACGGCAGCACGCATGCCTCAGGCACTGGTAGGGACACAGAAGAAAAACGCTTATCTGGACCCCCACAGACAACCCTTCGTCATCCATGTGGCTTCCCTTGAGCTGGCCGGTTCCCACCCATGATCCCTGTCGCTGACCCGTCCGACCGCCCCGTGTCACTCGCTGATAAAGTCGCAGGTTCCTTGGCCCCCAGTTCGTCAAGAAAGTTGTTGTATGTTGGACGAGGCCGAGCCCCCTGGTTTGACCGTCCGTCCACTGTGAAGAAGGAAGAACATCAAGGTGCCCTGAATATATCGTGAGGGCACCTCAACGGGCACCTCGGAGAAGAAAGACCCTGTCTAGCTGCAACCGATGGTGGGTGAAGCGGGGGAACGGTGGACTTCCAAGTGGACCAAGGTGTGCTGTCAAAAAAATGGGAAAGGAGGGGAAGGCTCCAAAAAGCTGGGGAAGAAGAGCCACGATGAAGGGCTTTCCCAGTCACAAGCTCCGAGTGTAGCTTGTGATGCTCGCAAAAGAGGAATAGCAGACAGGAACAAACGGGCCATTTCTCCACGGTTCGTTCGCTTCCCTCACCGTCCAGAAGCAGGTGCGAAAAAGGTGGTGTTCCAGGTTCCAGTCAAACCCACCCTCTTTGCCCACCACCCCGCGGGCGACACACATTGCATCTCCACGTCCCACCCGCGCTTGTGAAAAAATAATAATATTGGCACCATTGGCCTTGCCCTCTCCGATTTTCTCTGTTCAATGCGCCCGCACAGCACCGCATTCGCCTGTTTGCCTTCCATGTAATAGTAATACTCAAGTAGAAAGTATAGGCTCGGTGTGTTCCATGTGGGATGATGGGGTCATATCCTATATGGTGGTGCTTGCTGGATCGGCGCTCTGCTTTGACAACAGGACCAGGTCTTTTCTCCTAAAACCAAGAATGAGTGTGTGTCTCGGGTCCGAGTAGGTAGGTATGTAGATGGTAGATGTCGCGATGAGATGCTCGTCTGTCGTTGACTGACACCCGACTCACTGCCTGCTGTGACCGCCAAAGACATCCATCAACACCAGTAAAAGAGCATCCATCGTCACGTCACCTTTCGCCATCGATTGCTGGACCGGGGTGCATTTTGACCCCAAAGTATCTTCTGCCGAGGGGTTCGGTTCCGTGGAATAGGCGGGAACCTCTTCCCATGCCCGCCCACCGCGCGGGAGCCCTGTATCTCGCTAGTGATCGAGACCCGCGCAATGCCTATCAGAACGGCAGGTACTTGGGCCAGGTAGCAATTTATCTCCCTCAAATCCTAGCTGCCGGCGCTATCTCGCAGACCTGAGCACTCCCTCCCTCTCTTTTCTCCCTGCTTTTAGCACTTGTCTGCAATCCTTACCAGGCGCCCTGTTTGCTTTTTTTTGTTTGTGCCCATCAGGGGAGTCTTCTTCCAACCTCGATCGCTGCCCCATCTCCCGTTTTATCGCTGCTGCATTGCAATCCACCAGGGGGCAAGCCTACCCGTCCCAGTTCAACTAATAACAAAAGCAGACGAACCACCACCCGCCCGTCTGCTGCCGACGTGAGCCGCAGGAGCGAGCACCACAGCTTCAACGTCAACTCATCTTGAAGACCCCCCCTTGGGAATTTACTTATCAGCGCCACGACGGGAAACAAAACGGTTCTCGCTCGCCAAGTCATAGTCTGCCACGGCCGTATCAAGACCTGGCGATACCGTCATCGCTTGCCTACCTATCAGAGCTCCCTAGTCTGCAACCCACATCGGGTATCAGATCCACCGCCAGATTCGGACCACGCCTGCTGCGCCAGGAGAATTTCACCGAGGGCACTCCGTTGGACCCAACCCTGCCCCTGGGGCCTGCTGTCCGTTTATCTATCGGCTGGTCCCTGACTCCCTCGTTGCCTTGCTTTTGGGTCTTGATCGCACATGGGCGTCTGACTCCCGGCCTACAAGCGCCTTCCCCGGCCATCATCCCTCCCCCCCAATTCCCGGCAAGCCCTTTGTAGCACCACATATATACTTGCCTGCAGAGAGCCGCCCCCCCTTCCAAAGGACCCAGACGCGATAGCCATCACATCTCACGCAAACGGGCACGCACGCAGATAGATACCACGCACCGCCCACCACACTCAAAAAGCCTCGCGTTCCCCTTCTGTCGCCGCCGCCACTACCACCACCACCACCACTATCACCACAAACATTAACCCAACCCGTCTCTGGCTTTCCCGAGGCTGTGGATAGCTTATCAACCACTACCGCGCCGCTGCCTCTGTTTCATGGATAACATCCGACCTGTTCAGCCCCGTACTGCCATGTCTGAGTTCCGGTAGTCTTTGTCGTCGTTGGGTTGTTGTTCTTACTTCCACCTTTCCCCTCACTCTCACCACCTTTGAACACCATCTCACCTTAGTGGGCTCATATTCCGACCCTCTACATCCTTATTAAGGCCCATAACTCGGGCTTCTCCCTCCCGCTCCTAGGCGTCATCATCACCCTCTCATATCACAGCCATGTCGACTCCTTCCGGATCCCCGTCGCCGCTACAGGTGGCGGCCAACAGCTTTGTCGATGAAACCAAGATGCCCAAGGGACACTGCCGCTACATCCTGCTTCTTCCCGAAATCAAGGGCCAGCGATGTGCCTGTGTGGGCTTTTCACTCAATAAAGGCATCCCAGGTGCCAGTTGTGACTGCGGTCACTTGGCGTGCTTCCACAACAAGGAGCCAGAAGTGGCCACAGACTCGAAGCAAGAGCTGGAACTCTTGAAGAAACGCATTCAGCAGCTTGAGGATCAGATGACCAGAGGGCAGGATGGTGTAACTGAAACTCTTGTCAGCAGGATCAACGAAATGGAGGAACACTTGGAAAAGAGCAAGGAAGAGTTCAGTGAACAGATCAAGGGCACCTATCGAAATATCACCATCAGTTGGCGATCCATCGAGCAGGCCGAACAGAAGAGCAAGCAGCAGGATGAACAGCTCCGCCAGATTTATGAAAAGTTGAGGGACCACAACGAACAACTCGAGAGGCTGGACGCTGGGCAGTTGGAACTCCGAGATGCTGACCTGAGCCTGGAGGAGCGGATCGAAAATATCACCGAGATCTTGGAGGAAGAGGAGGAACGCCGAAGATCATCACCTGCCCGGCGTCCCAGAAGAAGATCGACCTCCGACACATCACGCCCAAACCTCCCTTTAGGGGAGGGGGCCGTCCCGTCAGACGACTATCGTCGCCCATTTCCGCCAACGGCCGGCCCCCGCAACCCAGGACATGGCGAGGGCCTCGAACGAGGCGGGACCGCAGCGTTCCAACTGATGAAACCCCTCCCCGTTTCTGCCCGGTCCACGGGCCCGTGGACAGTGCACATTTCGCTCCTCCCGCATGCGGGTGTGCCGATGCCCTTCGAGCGGAACACCAACGCCTACCAGCGGTGTCTATCCCGAGGACTCCACCGCATGGTTGCAGTCCACGGACCCGACGCAGAGTCGTTCAACAGAGCGGTGGAGGAGGCATTCGGCAGCTTCCTGAAGGGACGGGAGTGGATGCCGCTGCAGGCGAAGCTCTGCGACGCCGAGACACTTCAGGGTCTTCCGATGCTTCGTCAACTGGACCCTCAACTGATTGATCCAAAGAAATACGACCAAGACTTCCTCCGCCACCAATGCGGCGTCTGCGACTCCAACGGCATCATCGATTCGCTGTACATCGCCATGAAATCCCACACCATTTCCTGGCACACCTTGAGGCATTCCCCCGTCTTCATGGCTGGTCTTGAGTCGTGCTGGGCATACGACGCCCTTCTCGACAGAGACCAATACGACGGCGACATGGCTATTGACGACGAGGACAGACCGGCAGCGGGCGATATCACCACCATCTTGCCTCCAATCCAACCGTCGCTCAAGAGGCCCCTCACCGAAATGTCGCGGTCAAACAGCTTCAGTGCCGGCGCAGCCGAAGGGGAAGACACGCGAAAGAAGCGAGCATGTCCAGTCCCGCCTCCTCCAGGCACCATTGTCGAGATCAGGAGGCGCGGTGTTGGGGCAGCGTGACTAGCCAATGGGTTCGACCAGGAGCCACCCATTTTGACGATGCAAGATAATGCGAAACACCAGAGAACAAGAAACGATAAAGTGTGACCATAGCGCTGGGTAATGTTATAGATCAGGTCGGCAGGCAACGGGCGTTTGATGGAGACGGGGCGTACAACGATAAACTGGGGGGACATTTGGAGCACCAAAAGGGGTGCTTTTGTCGGCTGGTTTCATGTTTTTTTTTGGCATTTGGGGGAACCATTTTTACCCCCTTACTTTATTTTTCTCGAATCTCCTGTCAATCATCAAATTTATACGTTGCATTTCTGTTTCTTGTCGGGGGGCGGAGGATTTTTGCTGAGGAATGATCCAAGATGATCAAAGCTATGCTGTTGTTTGTAAGAGAGGAGTTACTGTCATGGGGGAAGGACAGAAGATTATGATGAATGAGCGGTGGGTTTACCTTGGTAGTCCTTGGAAGTTTCCGGTGGTTTTTGGACCTGACTATGTAGACAATCCCATGGGTACCCCGGACTTGTACTTGACTACTTGTGACTGTGAAGACGCCATATGAGTTGCTGATGCCATGTCTAATCGAGGGGCGTGAGAAATATATGGCTGCTGAGATGTTTGAGGGGTCAAATGATGCATGAACTTGGAACAGTCCGTCAGGTCGTAGAACCGAGAAGTGTCCCGCTCCTTCCTCGAATCGCCAGTCGTCATCACCGCTCTTTTCTCTGCCTGTCGAAACAATGGAATTGATTATTGTTTGGGATATCAGCCAATGACGTGCTGTCGAGATTGCTCGGTTTGGTCCTTATAAGCAGGGCCTGCTTTGTACCGTTTTGCAAACAATAGAAGGCCTTTTCAGTTCTCTAGTGTCGATAGGAACCAACATACTCCCAAGCTTTATATTTCTTTTCTCTCTGTGCCAGCCTGTCTCTCCATTCTTGGTCCGACGTTGAAGTGAGAGCATCAGGTGGGAGATCAGGTGACTTGGGCCCCAAATTTCACCTGCCAAGAAGTCTTGTCAGCAGCCGGCCGCTGTGGCGCCCGAGCCAGGAACCGCCCAGTGCCTAGGGACCCACGTTATCGGCAGGCGCATCTTCAGGTCCGTCTTGTTATCAATCGCGTCCAGCGCACCTCAGCCTGGCGCAACAATTGACAGCCAACGACTGCCAGCCTTGCATTTTCTCCCAACCTCAGCAACCCATTGTGTCTGGAGACATTGGGCCCTGCTGTCAGCTTTAACAACGACGTACGACCCAATTTCCGACCGAGTCGTCGTTTCCAGCCATTGATTCAATTTTAATCTCGGCGCGTCACCTATTTCTCACCTATTTGTCACCTTACGACCCGCCGCGACGCCAACATGGATCTCGACATTGAGATGGACGTGGACGACGTCCAGGAGGTCCCACAGCATATCCCAGAGGCATACACTCATGATATAATCACCGGCGAGGAACAGGTTGGATTACTTCACGTGGCAAATCACCCTTGCCAAGCATCGCTGACAAGTTCTCTGTCCAGGAACCCGGTGAGGTCGACGACATCCCAGACGAGCAAAACGGCAGCTCAGCAGAGAGTGTTCGCGTGCCCAACAAGGTTCACATCCGCGGCCTCGACACCTTCACCCCCAACGATGTCAAGGGCTACCTTTCCGAGCACTACGGCATGATGGAGTTTGAGCGAGTCGAATGGATCAACGACAGCTCGGCCAATTACATTTTCAAATCCGAGTCGGCCGCGCAAAACGCCCTGCTTTCTCTTGCGGCGGTTGAGATTGCCGACCTGAGTCAACTTTCGCCGCTTGAGATGCTGCCAGCCAAGAACTTTTCCCAAAAGCCAGAGTCGAACTTGCTGGTCCGGTTTGCGGTGGCGGGGGACAGGAAGGTGCAGGGGGCTGCGGCTTATAGTCGGTTTTATTTGATCAACCCGGAGTATGATCCCGAGGAGAGGCGCCGGAGGGGGGAGTTTAATAGGGGCAAGTATAGGGATCGGGATGACAGGCCTCGCAGGAGGAGGAGGGAGAGTCGTTCGGAGGAGAGGAATACGTTTGATGTTAATCTTTATGATGATGATCCGAAGGCGTTGAGTAATCGGGTTACGACGAGTCCTAGGCCACGATACCGGTCGAGATCGGTGAACTCGGCGGATTTTAGAAGGGAAAGGAGGGTTAGGTCCAGGTCGAGGGAGAGGCCGAATCGGAACAAGGAGCTTTTCCCTGAGAGACGGAGGCCGGCGGTTGGGTTGAGGGATAGGTCTGCTTCTCCAGTTAGGGATGGGGATGGGGATGCGCAGATGGATTTGGAGGAGGATGCTCGTGCTGTGGCTGTTCAGCGGAGTAGAGAAAGAGGTCGGGAGCTGAGGGAAAGACTGTCTAGGGATACTAAGGACAAGGAGTTGTTCCCAAGCAAAGTCACGGCAAAGAAGGAGCTGTTTCCAGAGAAGGCTGGGTTGGCGGTTGGCAGCAAGGCACAGATGGATCAGGTCACTAACAGCTCAACTATTCTCGCCACCGGTATGTCGCAGCTTACTCTTCACCCCAACAAGCCTCTTTTTTTCTAGTCACAACCCACTTTTCCAACAATTATTCAGCTCACTGACACCATCTTCTACTCAGCATCACTAGCAGACAGGATAACAACTCGACCGACGGCATCAGGAGGGGAAGGGGGGCTGAATATTCGTGGCATGGCTGGGAAGCAAGGGACAGGTCAGGGGATTGCGATCAAGGGGACGGGGGCCAAGGTTAAGGAGTTGTTCCCGGGCAAGTTTGGAAGTGGGGGGAATGCTGGGAAGGAGTTGTTTGCGGAGAAGTTGGAGGGGAGGGGGAGGAGGAGGCAGAGGGCGGAGGATTCTTGGAATTGATGGGGGGTGGACATGTATATGCATTGATAAAGGCGTTCAGGGGAGGCTTGATTTGGGGTTATATAGCACTGTTGTAAGGAAATCTAAGGGCATGGAGGTTTCTATCATTGGATATGTGAGTTGTGTGGTGAGTTATGTGGCTGGTGAACGATGTGTGATGCTGTGGAACCGATATCAGAGCGATGATTGATGCATAAGATGGTGTTCAGGGGGGGTATATCTCTACTTGCTTAGTGACATGGAAAGAAGTCGTGGAGGTTTCTTTCAGCTTGAATACGTGAGTTCTATATGCCTTGTGAATGATGGATGCTGGGTGAGTGCTGGAAGAAGAAAGAGCAAGTTGAACAGTTCATGAAGAAAGCGCCAGCCAACCAACTCCTTCATTTTATGGTATCAGTTGCTCTTTCCATCCAACGGTTTCACTCTTTCCATCTGATATCACCCTATTCGATAATAACAACGGCGACTGACTACCCCACGGCCGGTAGGTGAATTGCTCTTTCTCTGTTTATGTGTACCCTAACGGTTTATCCAATGGCTTTTCTTTGGGGAAGTTACGTCCGTCCTTCTTTCCTTCCTTCTTCCTGAGGCATGTGGTTTTGACTTTTGCACATATCTTCAACATCGGCTTTTTTGTTGCGGAAATATGTTCGACCGACATCACTTTTACTTAATTTCGAGGTCACTTGCTCACCTGTTCTGAAAGACGACACGACAAAGTGGATATACAATGGCGGAAAGCAACAACAACAACAACAACAACACCAACCCAGCAGCCTGGTTCCGGACATTTGGAAGGTCGAAGAGTTCGCTGCAGACGCCGACCACGACAAGCCCGAGCCGTCCCGCGAGTATCACCACCACGATTGGTCACGATGCCCCAGCAACACCAACACCCGACACCTCCCCCGGCCGTCTCCGCGCCCGTCCGGCTGCTGCTGTGAGACGGGTTTCCTCGCTGTTTAGTCTTGTTGGTGGGGGTGGTGGTGGGAGTATCCTGTCGGGTGGGAGTCCAAACCGAGACAGCTTCCCTGATCATGGTCTTCCAGGGAGGGCGCCGCCTATGGGGGCTTTGCCGCTCAGTGGGTTTCATGATGGTGGCGGTGGTGGTGTGGGATTGCAAGGGCTGATGGGGGGGTTGGGGGTGGGAGGGAAAAGGGGGGAGGAGGAGAGTATTGTTTGGTCGAGGCCGACTATGATGCAGATGGTGGAGACTTTGAGGGGGGTAATGATGGGGGTTATGAGGATGCCTGATCGAGGGAGGGGAGTGAGGAAGATGAAGGGGGAGGCGGGTAGGGAGGGGGATTGGGAGAGGATGGAGCTGGAGAGGGATAGGGAGAGACGGTGGGGTGAAAGGGGGGGTTGGGGGGGTTTGCCGGTTGAGTGAGTACTTCTTTGCCCTGATGCTCTGACAATGAGTTTTTATACACAGATCTACTTTCTCTACCCTCGGTTACATGGGGAATCTCCCCTTGTCTTGGCAGGACTATCTCAAGTGAGAACTGTGAACTGTCTTTGAGGCAGGGCTATGTTCAAACGAGGCTCGCCACAGCATTAGAATGCCCTCAAGCGAGAGCCATCCTCTCAGAGGACTATATCTACATGGATCACATTGTCTGTGGAAATTATCCCACCTTTTGGCGGTGCTTGGTGGTTGGAGTCCACCACTGGCTAGACATCCCACGGTTGCCTGGACACTACATACCAAGCTACTTCCTACATCCTCATCTTATCCACGTAGTACAGAAAGCGAGCGTCCTCTAACTAAATCTTGTAGATATAACTCGCATGTGCTCGTTCTCCTCGAAGGCTTCGGCCATCTTGTAGAGCAGTTGAACAAAACCCAGGAAGAGCTCGCCGAGCTCAAGAACCTGCGGGAGAAGGAAGTCGAACAGTTCCGTGGCATCAGCGAAGAATGGATTCAACGAGAGAACGGCTACAAGGCTGAAATCAAGCGTCTTGAGCTAGTCCTGGCAAAAGAAAGCAAGAACGGCGTCGCCTCTGTTGCATTGGCTAGACATGGCAGTCTCATAAACCGCTCGGGAACGAAAAGATTTCAGGCACGGTTGAAGCGGTTGAGCAGTTCCCAAGATGCCGGTAAGTTTCTCCGGACCTCCATAAAGCCCCGGAGACTAGGCTGACCACGAGTGGCAGATAACACCAGAGAAGCCCACGCCGACCCAGAGCCCAGCATGGTGGGGGTGAAAGAAACCACGTCACGTTACGAAACAATCGGTAAGTAATTCTTCCCTAACCGCGGAGCTTCCCGCGGGTATTGACGGCCGCCTAATCGCAGGTGACATTCCACGGGACGTCAATCCTCACCGTGATGTATTGCTCTCCCGCCTGGTCGAGAAGCAGGGCAAAGCCCAGTCAAGCCGACACTTTCAAGAGGGGGAACGAGTCTTGAACCAAATACTCCCTGATACTGGGCACACCAACAGACCAAAAAGCCCACCAACCCACCGAAATCAACGTGACGAGGATGACGAGGACATTGAGTGCCCCGCGTCCGGCGAAGTTACCCTGAAAGTACCAAGCACTAGGGAGCGGGCATCACTGTACGAAAAGGGGCAAGGGGGAGCCAATGCAGGTCCCAACAGTCACGCCTACGCTGGCGTGGCAGGTCGCCCCATTGAAGACCCATCGGCCGATGAGTCCTCTGCTAGCTCAAGATGGGACGCGGAATCTTCAACATCTGACGATTCTCTGCAAAATAATGGCTCCTCATTGGTAGGTCCCCAGCCACGACGATCTAACGATTCGGGACCTGGGCTGTTTGACGGTACAAACAGCCAGCTAGCTGATAACGGTCTCGGCGCCATAGACGAAGGCACAGGACACATGCTCGATACAGTTTTCCTGAACCGTGGATACAGCTTTAAACGAGGCGATGACGAGCATCTTCCAGTGACCTCCCCCAGCCACAGGAAAGTCAAAGGGCCGGATTCTGACTCGATGTACCTTTATACATACACACCTTTCGACGATGTATCCAGTGTGAGGCCTGACTGTGTGGGCTCGCCGTCAGAGAAGAGACCGGCTCGCCCCGCAGGTCTCGCTCCCTCCACATCGACCGGCTCTGTTATTTGGCGGGGCAATGACGACACCATCAGAGATGAAAGGACCCCTAGAGCTAGTGCCTGCGAGAACCAGGGCGAAGACTCGGACGGTGGCAGTCAACAGTGATGTTCACGTCTCAACAGTTCCACGTTCCGGGGTCGTTAAGCTCAGGAGGTGACGGCGAGGGTGGGGAACGGTTGAGAGCGGCCCCGTTATCTAACTGTTGGTTCTTGTCGTCTATTGGCGGTACGGTTAATAACGACGGCAATGTTGAGCACGTAAGCCCACCGGCCCATCTGAGCTTACAGCTATCAAGGTGAAGCTTTTGCGTGGACTCGTCGCCGGCTCACCGAGAACCTTGGACAGAATCTGCAGACACGACACGAAGGCCGAGGGTCGACCGAGACTCTCACCAACCTTCTTGTCGGCATATGATTCAGGAGGTACTTCTCGGCGGCACTTCTTCTGGGCGGCACTTCTTCTCGGGGGGACTTTTGGGGTTTCTTGGACCGAAACTCTCACGAGCGTTCTTGTCGATCTGATTCAGAAGAAGGTCTATCTATGCGGGGCGTTGGGCGCGGGCTTTTTGGGTTTGGGGTGAGACCATCACCAGCCTTCTTGTCGGTCAGACACGGGGGGGGGGAGGTTAATCCCTGAAGGGAATAATCTCCCTGAAGGGACATCTGACTCGTGATGGGTCGATATGGGGGAGAGCGATGGAGGGATGGTGTTGTTTATAATTCTTGGAGGGGAGTTAAGGGGTTCAAGGGCGAGAACCTTGATGGGCAGGGGTCTGGGGATCTCGATGGATGGATTCACATGGGATTATGAAGTGTAGAGAGATTTGTATGATTTTGTATGAAATATGAAGGCTTGTGGCAGCTACGTTCAGTGAATATCTACATGATTGGTGTGTGTTTGTCTCCATGGAACGGTTATACGTGTTGTTTGATACCTGGTAAATATGAAGACTCTGTCGTCAAACGGTATGACAATTTTCATAACGGGTATAACGGGTTTATGCTCGAGATATGCATTGAACGTTTAGCCACGTTTCAGGGGGCGAAAAATGACTGACTGACCGGGACAGGCGCGGGACTAAGAGTAGTGAGGCGAGAGATTGTGGGCAAATGTGACCTCCTTGGTTTTGCAATCCAAGATTTGGGGCCGAAGCCATAGTGTGTGCCACTGTTGTCTGGGTGATGGCTGCTTTAGGGGGCGGTTAGGGGAGATAGGAAGGTGTTATCACGAGGGAAATTGTGCTCATTGTGGAGGGTCTATGATGGGTGTAACTTCTTGGTATCCAGGATAAAAGTGAAGTCGTAATACTAATGGCTTGAGTGGATGATCCGGGGCGCGTAGGCGTTTGTTAATTAAGGGCAAGTGTTGAGAGGGGGGAATGGAAAGCTCTTGAAGGTGGGAGTAAGAAACGAACAATGAACGAGGCTTGTGGCGAGTGGAAATCCAGGCTGTATGGTGCTCGTGGGGGGAGTGTAGCTGTTGTGACGTGGGTTGGTGATGCCTCGCGGGTTATCTTTTGGGCTGAGGTCGGGCTTCCTAGGCATGTTTCGTGGTGATCATGTGGTGTTGAGGCTTGCTCAGCTGTGGAGGCTGGCGAACGTTATTCACCTGAAAAGTGATAAGGCTGATGTTGAGCGTTGAAGTCTAACGTGGCGTTTTGGGAAACGTTGAGGTTTCACAAATTCGTGGCTTCGGCAACAGGATAACGTTTGGCGACGGTTGAAGCTGGTTCAATAGGTTTTATGGGCGTCTTTCTAGAAGTTTGATGGACGCATGACGATACTTGGCGCTTTTTACTAGGAGTCTTTGCTGCCATTTCGATGCCCTTATCGTGGCTGCCTAGAGGCTTTGATGATATTGGCTTTTGCCACTATGCGTATTGTTCTGTTTTTGTGTTTGGGTTTGCGCATTCATGC